AAACTGCTCTGTCTTTTGATGTTCCTGGAGAGGAGAAAGCAGTCTGTGCGTTCAGAGAAACAGGTTGAGTTATATTAGCCATTTTTATAAATCCAGAATGATACAGCTTTACAGCGTACCCCTGGTGTTCACACCATCTGGAGTACATACACTCAGAAACACGGTCAGACTCGCACACACAAGCCAAGATAGTTCTTATTAGACTCCTTTATCTAGCTCATTACATTGGTTTGTGAATAGATGTGGCAAAAGGATATAGAGGATTACAGCCTTTTCCTTTACTATAATACGATTAGTCGTACCAAGGAGAAATAGGAATGAAGGTCAATGTTGTTGCATTTTTCATTATGTGTGGTGACAGAGTAAGAACAAAAATCCCCAGCTGTTATTTGACATGCAGAAATAGAAATAACGTTCACTGCTTTTAGTTTTATAGCTTTGTCTTTGCCCTTTCTCTTTCTGTTCTATTTTTCTCTCGCACGCCCTTTCTGTCTCATTTACTTTCTGCCTGTGATCCTCTTGGTTAAAGGTGCCAGTGGTGCCTCGGTCAGAGCACGGACAATGCTATGCCAACTACTTCCACCATCATCATTGGTCTACCTGTCTGCCAGCACAGGAGCAGCTGGGAAGTTTACTGTGCCTGCCAAAACTGAACAAATAAAGAATATTGCATACCGTAGCCACATCATATTCTGGAAATAAGGTAGGCTAATTAAACTGTCATCAGAAATGGTTATTTTTTTAAGCTTAAAGCGATTACCGGAATTTGCTTTTATATTATGCTGATATAGTTATGGTGACCTAGATGGGTCATTTTAAGATGATAATACAGCATATCTCTCACTATGATAAATTTTGTATCAAACCACACTTGGTCAAAATGCACTTTTCAATAATTCAATAATGAATAATTCAAACAGAAGAAATAATAAGACCATTGTCTAGTTTTCTAGACAATGGTCTACATGACAAAAAGCATAAATAATACTATTTCAGCAGCCACCATGGCGAAATTACAATCACCCTTTGGGCCTTCATCCAGGTAAGATTTTACACTAAATCAATCCTAAAGTTGATCTAGAACTTGTTTGATACGGGTCCCTTTTTTTAAAATTGTATTAATAATATCCTGAACTAGCAGGAATAGAACCAGCACAGTCTCTCTGTTACTCAGTATTACAGATGTGGAGGGCTACTGTGAAAATACAGCAGGAATGATTTTCTCCAAATAATTAGCTTTCAAGCACAACCAATGATTAATGCTGATCTAATGACAGGTGCTCATTTTTCAGTAAGTTAGAAAGTATGCAGATGGTGGAGAGAAAGAGAGAGATGGATAGATAAAGTAGATAAAACAGAGAAAGGTGGCAGCAGTGTGAAAATGCCTGCCATAAAAAATCAATTTGTGATGGTGATCGGCTGTAGAGTCCTGAACCCCCGAGAAGCTGATGGTCACACATGTGAGGCGATCTATAGCACAACCACCGAGATAGTGGGTGCTGCTGATTAAGAAAGAGAGAGGAAGTGGAGTAGAGAAATGGAGGTTGAAGGCTGTGTACGTCCGACATGCCTCATTGGGCACACCTCAAAGGGTTGGTTGGAAGGTGATGGAAGATGTTCTTTTCTCTTTTCAGGTTGCATTTTGAATTAAACCCTCTTGCTTTTATGTCTGTTAACTGGCTAGACGCAGTGTGGACGTTGTAGACTATGATGCTACTACTCAACTAAACAAAAGACCTGAAATATCAACTTGTCATGTGTTGATTTGCAAATATTCCTCCTAAACTCTGTGTGTGTAGGTGTGAGAGAGTGTGTGTTTGTGTGTGTTTGGGCAGTGAGCCACCTTCCTTATCTCTGCCAAGGCGCCGGCACGTCCAGTGTCTGCCTGGCTGAAGCTGCCCCAACCCAACAGCATGTGGGAGGTGTTGGTCAACAAAACAAACAACACCCCCATTCTGTCCCCTGTCTTGCACCTTGCCTCTCCCCATTAACATAACTGGCAAGCCTGCTTTCTAATAATTCTGGTTGAAATCATCACATTAGGCCTGATAGCATTATCCTTCTACTTGACTGGCCCAGTGCCAGCATAAAGAGGGGACACGGGGAGATCCAGACAAGGTTAATAAAGGCAGATGGGCCGCTGTCTGACTCTTTTACGGTTTGCTTAGGTACGATTTTTCTGATACTCAGGCAGGAACTCAATCCCCTCTTTCATGGAGCTCCTCTTAACTGAAAGGGTCAAATGTTTTAAAACAGACTCAGTTATTCCTTTCTGTGCAGTCAAACTATCTGTGTCTTGTCTGTGTAACAGTATAACAAACAATTACTTAAAATGCTGTAGATAAGAAAACACAAATACAGGTGCATCTGCTGCAGCAGAGTGGTGACAGTTTGATTATGTATAAGTTAATAACCATCATACATCATGCAGCATTGACAGATAAACATAATAGTCAGGGCAGGAGGGAAAAGCACACTATAGCTGTCAGGGTGAGAGACAGGTATTGCCAGGGGAAATAATATGCATAGTTTGGAACAGCACCATGAAAAAGCATAAACTTAAGGATTATAGTTATCGCATCTGTCCTTAAGATGAAATGTGAAATATTGAGTCCTGGCATTTATAAAAAACAGGGTTTTAAGAGCAAGCTGTATTAAAATATCACTATCAGCTACCGTATGTAAAAATGATGGCATTCAGAATAATCTGTGCTACTCACTCATAATAGGACACACTTGTATGAATGTAAAGGTTTGAGTAGGAAGTCAGGTGTATTTCTTTCATTACATAGACTGATCGGGAGAGAGGAAGGAGCAGGAGAGAGGAACTGAGAAAAAGAGTACTGTTGTATTCAGTTTAGTTGGACAAAAGCATTGCTCGATTGTGTGTCTATGTGTGTATAGACGAGCATCTACCGACCACAAAACCCCAAGTGCATAGAGCTTGAGTGAACAAGCCAGTTATTGTACAGATGATTTAATGTTAACATTATAGTCACTAAAGGATGATCTGTTTTCGGTCATGACTTGCCTTTTGCAAAATCAAAGTGATGGTTTGTAATTAAACTGGGATCGTAACATGAAGCATGTACATATACAGTACATTTATGGCCTGTACAGTTGCACAGTGTGACAGGATACTTTACTGGCACAGAAAAAAAACATACTGCTTCTTTAAACAAAGTTGGCAGAAGAAATTGAGAATGCATTTTTACTTATATAACTCATCCATTTACATTCCCTTTCCCACATTAACTTTATTTTGTGCATTTGTCCCATCAGTGGCTTCACCAATATAGTCTTATTTTTCCACCAATTTCTCGGAGTTATCACACACACTGCAATATCTGTCAGAACACATCAGTGTAAAAAATGGAAACTTAAGCTGTTTTGTGACTCATATGAAAGAGGCTATCTTTATAAATATTCTGAAATGTATATTTACCCAGCTTTTTACCATAAAAGCAAACACGACCACAGCCAGATTCATCGCCTTGATCCACACCTCTATCACTCAGCTATTCAAGGTTTCTGCTGTTGATGTTTACCATTGATCCCTTTTTCCCAATCCATTACTCACATACAACCCATATTTTTTACCTGGGAGATCAACCACAGATTTTTCTGCTGGTGACGGCACAGCTCCACTGGAGCATTTGCAGATGCTGTTGATGGATGGGAGTGTACTGGGTAATCATTTTGCCCAAACAGATTTTCCCCAGCCAGTCTTGGTTTTGATTGCAATGTCTTTTCTCTACCTGCCTCACTAAACCCCTGGTCAACGGTTTTCAAAGTGGGGTCCAGGAAATGTCAGATCTCCATCAGAAGGTTCTTTGTTCTCTGTTTCAATATTTAGCCATTGTTACAATAGCTATACAATAGAGAATGTCTGGGATGGTTTTTGTCATGATGGGTTGTATATCTATCATCACCAAAAAAATTGGTCTAATGCTGTTTGATTTGTGGACATGAAGCATTGGAAATCTCAGCTATAATATGACCAACCCCTGAGCAATTGATACAGTACACAGCATGAGGAGCACCAGTAGCTCTGCCACCCATTCATTAACAGACAGTACTCGAAGCTGCTCAAAGCCTCTCGTCACTTACATTTCATTACTGACTTTCAGTCTTTGTAATCCGAGTAAATGTGTTCAATCTAGAAGAAATTGTAAAGTATTTGAAACAGTGTTCCCCGGCGTGAAACTAACTGAGGCAAAGAGATGTCTGGGGAGACTTTCATAGATTGTGCAGGGTGGTTCAGGGCATAGATTGAAACAGCTGGAGGTGCATGTAGAGTGTTTTCACTAAACGAAACCGCACAACAGCAAGACTGCTTGAAATCCCTGCACCCACTTAGGCAATACTGAAGTGACACGTATAGATAAACACCACCCACAAATCCCCGCTGACATATTATAGTCATTTTGTGAGACAAGACAGTAAGACAGTTTATTCCATAAAGAATCACAACCTCAAATATGTATCTAATATCTATAAATTACAGACATAATCTGTAAAACCAATAATAGCAGCAACTTCTGTTTAAACCAAATGTATTTTCTATAAAAATATGCTTGTTTGCACCTTCAAAGAGGCAGCGCTAATACTTAATGTTATCCTCTGGCACCTTGACACTTCTGCTAGCAGAAAAATGTGGATTGTTTGCACCAAAAGATGTCACTTGAGCAAGTGTTATCACGGATCCCTTCGGCAGGATCCAGCTCGAGTTACATCACTGCCATAAAGACAACTGTAACATTTGGCAGAAGTAGTGCCCTACTGAGATCAGGAAGAGCTTTGTGCTCAGCAATAACAGATATATTTTGGCCAGAGAAAATCAATGTGTGAGTCACTTCAGAATTACCACACTGTTTATTCTTAAATTCTTTTGAACCAATCACATGAACTTTATGTGATATTGTCTGAATACATACATGTGATTACTTTGAAGACCGATAATACCATCGTCAGATGTGTAAGACTGGGAGTCACATTACCTGCCTTAGGCCATCCTTGCTGTTCTGCATGATCCTCAGGGCGTAGTTAGACCGCTGGCCTTTGCTGTTGAATTCAATGTGGCCTGTTAGACCATCCAATTCTACCTATCCAACACAGAGACAGCAACACGTTAAAAGACCTCATCAACAAACCCTGCCTGCTTCCCTATTGTAGATATGACATTAGCACTACTGGCTCAGTATAATACTTTTGAAAAATGTCAAATTTAGAAGAATAATATGAAGAGAAAAAGCTGTAATATCTTCAATTTACAGAAAAATAGAAGAGCCATCAGTCATGTCTTCTTCATCTGAGAGAGAAAGACAAATAGCCTGATGTCGAACACACGTCACATTTAAGCATTTTGATAGTCCAATCACTTACAGCCATTTCTCCCTAATAGGAAAACACATTTTATTCACTGACAGCTCATCTTTATCTCTCCTTCTCCATTGTCTCTCAGAATAATGTAGACACGAGATAAACTGACCTAGTGGATAGGCAGTATATCTTTAAGGAAGATGAGAGCACAGGCTATACACATTATCATCTGCTGTCAGTGAAAATATCTAGGCTTTAAAATAACCAATTAACATGTAGAAAGCGGATCAAAAATGAAGAACTCAACAAGTTTTGCTATCGGATATTATCTTATGAATGTTCCTGACCCTCTTGTTGTTGTAAGTAAGAGAGTCAGACAATAATACAAATAAACACAAAAACTGAGAAAACTTACATTTTGGGAAACATGCGAGTCAGATGTGAAGATCGTTACCACGGTCGTGTATGTGTGGTAAATATGAAGCAACTGGTTGGCTTATCTTAGCATAAAGACTGGAAACTGGGGAAATGGTTAGTCTGGCGCTGTATAAAAGGTAACAAAATCCGCCTACCAGCAACTCTAATGACTCGTTCAGACTACATTACTTTCTACGTCGGCTGATCGCCATGTTGTTCAGACTACACAACTTGCCGTCTTGTGACGGGATCTTGAAGTCGTTGTGGCGTTCACACTATGTGACTGATCGGTGACAGGGAGTCACAGGGCTAAGCCACCTGACGGCTGGTCTCCACACCACGTTGTGTCAATAAAACACACGTGAAATGTGAAAGGGGAAATGACATGAATCTACCAACAAAACAGCTGTTGCTTGTTATTATAAAGATAGCAATTATAAACACAAAGAATATGGATGAAAGAATGGATTATCACATGCAGGTAGCAGGGATTGTCTGAGCTACAGAGAGAGCTGGAGGTGAGTAAAAAGTGTTTTGCAGTGAAAAAGTACTAGATGCCTGCTCTGCCAGCTGCCTGCTCTCATTGGCTGGATATGGATGTCGAGTCGGCTGACTCCTCCAGATATTTGGCACGCTAGATATCTGGCTGGCGTCTGCGATGTGTCAGAAATGTGTCAGGGAGATGTTTTTGATGCATCGTTGAGTAGTTCAAACATAACGACTGGCGGCCACCAATTGATGCTGATTTACCCCTGATCACTGCCTGACGGTCACCGAGCTTGCGGACTTGAAGCGCACTAATTAACATGTTACAGGACCTTTGTCACTGGGCCTGGCCAAGAAAACCATTTTTACACAGATTAAACAAACAATAGATAACATGTTAATTTGTTAGCTTTAGAAGTACTTAGCCAGCTGTTTGATAGTGTTTCCAGTCTTTTTTGCATAGCTAAGCTCAGCTAACTGGTTGCTGAATGTAGTCATATTTAGCATACATATATATTTCATGTTTTTCTGTGATTTTGTTTATTTTGTTTCTGACATTCCAACTTTGAACAGCAAGTCAGATAGTGAAACTTGGAGATGTTCATTACTGCTTCACATTCAACATGTTAATTGGGTATATTAGAGCCTAGATATTTTCACTTACAGCAGATAATAATGTGAGATATAACATAGTAATTAATGAGCTTTAGAGGTGCTGGTAGGCGTAATTTGTAACCTTTAGACAGAACCAGGCTAGTTGTTTCCTCCCTTTCCCAGTCTTTATTCCAAGCTAAGCTAAATTTCAGCTGGCTGCAGCTTCATATTAACCTTACAGACATAAGAGTGGTATCGATGTTCTCATCTAACTCAAGAAAGCAAATAAGCCTATTTTCCAAAGTATTCCTTTAAGGGAAGTAGTGGTCAGTCCTGTCTTCTGTTTTCATCATGTCCAGCAGAGGCAATCTTACCATCCTCAGGTAATTCATGAGGCTGGTGCCGTGCTCCCAGATCTTGGAGGACTTGCAGGAGAGCTGAGTGGCGCCAACATTCTGGCTACGGTTCAACTCCTGGACTGCCGCCACCACCGCATATACCGCATCAAAGAGCAGAGCTGAGGAGAGCTGCAGAGGGAGAGGGAGGGGAAGAAGGTGAATACATTATGCATTCACACACTCACACAAAGCTGCAAAAACTCAAAGCACACAAACTGCAAGTGTAACATGTCAGTGGTAAGCGGTCAGTGAGGGGTTAACCCATCCCTGGAGTGGCAGTGAAATTATTCCATTAGATCATTAGAAAGACTCTGATCTGCTGACAGCGTTGAAACCATCTCTCTCTCTCTCCGTCTCTTGGAGAGACTCTGTCCTTCCTACTCTTATCCCCAATGAAGCTGGCACATCCTGACCATTCCAATTACCGCCTGCCTCTCTCAGCGAGGGCCAGAAAACAGTGGGAGAGGCAGCCTTTCCTCTCATCTCCCCTGTACAAACAGCCTCATCGTCACTACCACTGCATCCTGCTATGTGTATTTGATTAAAATGCATGACGCCTTGCATTAGAGGCTAGGGGAGAGTCTAGGCTTCACTGCTATACATCTGTGTAATGGAACTAGAGATGAAATGGCCCTGATGTTTGGTGGATATTGATACAGGGCTAAGAGATATTGTGTTGCATACTAAATTTTGGAGACCAAACAGAACTATAATAGGCCATTAAACTGCAAAACTGTGATGTATTGCAACCCATAATTGGTGGATTGAACATTAAGCAATATGGTGTACACAAACTGTGGAGACATTACAACCTGGAGTCGAGGTTTGACATATGGGAATGATGTCTTGGTGGTGGGAACAGATAAAGTCAAATTGTTAGGTCAGCAATAAAATGTGAATGTCAAAATATTACAGCAGTACTTCTGATTATATTCCACTCGTATCGTATAATATCTACACCGTGAAGCTAATAACTTTGTGGCATTTACTCGTCTTCGTTTCACTCTGGAAGTCTTTTCTTTCTTGCTATCCTTTTCTTTGCGCGCATTAGAAACGATTGAACATTAGCAAATGACAGTGCCAGACTAAAAAAAGTACACGTTACTGTCTCACAATCTAAATCTGTGAATATTCAAGGGAGGGTTTGTGGTCGTCAAGTTTACCTCGTAAATGCTATTTTTACAGTTTTTCATAAAGATACTGTGTGCCAACATGAGCTGCTTTCACTGTTTCAGGCCTGTTGTCTCTGAAACCTTTCAGCTTTTGGATTTGTTTGATGTTCTCTAACACAAATACAGATAAAGATAAGGACTATCTGTGCGTCTGTGTGGTTCCTTTGCTTGATGCTAATTTGAGAATATAAATATTGTCACACAATTGGAAGATATTTAAAGGCAGCATAATTTGCCCTTCATTAATGTGTCTCCCATAAAACCATCTTCAGCTATAAACCTACCCACCTATAACTCAGCTGCCTGCATTTTCTCAGATGAACTTTTATGATCAGTTGGCAAGATGCAACTTGTTTATCTTTTAATGCATTAAATGTCCCAGCTCTACACATGTAAAAAGGGCACTTGGATTCATTTTTGTATGCATGAGCACCATAGTTGCATTTCCTCCAGATCTAATTATTGTAAATGAAAAGAGCATATTATCTATGTGCATGTCTAAATGCGTTAATCACTTTCTTCATTCTCTCTGCTTATTAGCTAATTAGTCACATGTCCACAATTGCCACAGGCTCAGAAGTATCTGAGTGACCTGCTGCGAACAGAACACAACATGTTTTCATGCTGTGTTCAAACTATTCTTAACCTGTTTCACCGCCCTGCTTGTGTGGAGCAGGAGGGGGTGACAGCTTCATGTTTGGGCTCATTTGTTTCATTATTTGTAACTTTCTCTTAACTTCAAACAGAGCTCTCTCTGTTTGAAATTAAGATTATTTCATTAATTTACTTTACTGCATTTCTAGTTTCTAACAGAGATTTTTGTTTTTGTTGCGCCCAGATTAGTCACAACATGTTTTAATAAATAAGACAATAACATTTCTACTTTACTTAATATTTATGTGTATAAAACATGTTAAAATTTTACCTTTTGACAGTTTTATTCCATTATTGTCATTAATAGATTATTTTTTTATACAATATAAAGATAAGTACAATTATACTGTAAGCTTGGTTAGTTTCAAAACTAATAAATGATGGAAAACAACAATTTAATGTGGTACTAGGGAAGAGAAAGTTAATACTGCTATCAATTGATGTAAGAAGTACTGTAAGCTTTTCTTAACTGGTGTCTTTCAATCTAATAGCTGGCAAAGGTCCTCTTGTTACTCTCAGATGCTGTTTTTATGAGTGACACTTCTGGCCCGGTGAGAGAGCTTAGCCCTGAGAGGGATTACAGGGGAGTCAGATAAAACTCATAACTGTAGGTCCCATAAACAAGAGGTCACTACAAATAGGTGACACTCATGTTTTGTATTTGCTGAATCTGATGTAGAAAATTCTGATAAGCCATATCTCATAAAATAAATATGTGTGTTATGCTGCAACTACAAAATGTTTAAGCAAGAGTGGCAATTTATCTGTCTAGTAGGCTACGGTTGGCTCCAAAAAAAATAAAAACTGTTGAGCCAGCATGAGACAAATGATTTTTCTCCTTATTCAAGTTTCCTAACAACAAACCTGCAACAGTCTTCAGTCATTCATATGTAATCAGTAGCTTGGTGATTTGAGGCTGTTTTGAAGAGACTCATTTAAATATGCAGAGCACAGTGTGTTAAATGTTGAGCTACAAAACAATGTTTAGATTAGAACAGTGGTTGATTTAAGGGGGATTGCTGTGAACGTAGGACGCTCTTTTGCTTTGCATTTCCTCTGAAGCAAATTTAACAAGGAAGATGCCATTATAAATGTAATAAGGAGGGTGCCATACGCTGCTAATGAGCTGTCTGGGAAACAACAACTGCCTAGAGCAACACCTGCAATTACAAGAACTAACTGGATAAATGTCATCCCTGCATATTTCAGAGGCATTTTTATGTCTAAGTGAGTTCACTGTTTTAGTTGGTGAGTTTGAGATACAGCAGTAAACTGGAAGAGTAATGTCTCGGAAGACCCCGTTTGGACTTGGAAAGGAAATAAATAAAAAGGGTTCTTCATCCATTACTCTCACATGAGTAACCTTGGTATTCACTGTGTGTGATAGTGTGTACTAACTGGGGTGCCAGCGAAGGGTGCATGGTCACAGTTCTCTTGCCAGGAGCGGTTGAGGCTTAGCACAAAATCCTGGAAGAAGGGATGAGTTTTGTTGAAGACTGAAAAACCAACTATGTTGACTCGCTGGTCCACCACGTCGTCCAGTCGGAGTAAAGTGAATTCCTGCAGGGCAAAATGAGAGAGAGAGAGAGAGAGAGAGACAGAAAGACACAAAGGGATTATTTGGGTGAATGCAGCTGATGTAGATGGTAGCTGTCATATTCTGCCATGATCCATACCATAATACCATACCATTATCTACTTCAAATAAAACCAAATGATATGTTGAATTATTGCATGTATTCATGTATTCATCAAACATGTTTACATCTGATTTAATGTGTCTCACTTCATTGCCTCATATTCATTGACTGCCATTATTCCGGTTGATTGACATGAGAAAGATGCAGCAATTTTTTCATTCTAACCATGTAGCTATGCATCACTGCACAAAACCATGTATTTTGCACCAGCCATATACATTTCCTGACATACAGGTCACTGTCTGAATACTGGCTTGCAATGCTAAGGGGCTAAAATTAGAGTGAGACAGACAGAAAGAGCCTTAGACAGACTGGAGACGGGGAGACACTGAGACTGATGGATAATTGAGAAAGTGAGATAGAAATCCATGGCATATTGAAATGCTCGAGGTTGGGAGAAGAGGAAAATAAAGGTATTTGTTATTTGGCTCTTTTTTGCTCGAGGGACAAGCAGGTTTTCCTCCGCCTCGGGAACAACAGACTAGGGACAGGCGGAGATAAAGGTGAGGAAGAGTAACAAGGAGAAGAGGCGGGGTTGTCTCCTGAAGGTTAATAGAGGTGTCAGAACCTAGCCCCCCCCCTCGGGTGGCAGCCGGTCCTGACATCAAGCTTATGACAGCCTGACCAAGCCCAGTCTACCTGTCTGTCACCAAGGCCAGGAGGGGTTGGGAGGGATGGTGAGTGGAAGTGGGGTGTGGTGTGGGAGGAAAGAGGTGGCAGGTGACAATGAGATGTTGAAAGATGTGCATGTATATTGGTCACAGTGGTCAGCAGGTTGAAAAGACAAGTTGAAGAGAAGTTATAAGTGTATATAGATCAGTGGAAAACAATGATCAAAGCTGCTAACCGCTATATTTCCTTTAGAGCACCTGCCATGTCGGAACCCACCTCATGTGTGGGTTCCTACATGTGTGGGGCAAAAACGCATATTTTAGTCAGCCAAAGGGAAAACTTGCATGGCTCTCAGAGATATCAAAGCTTACAAAGTCATGCCACATCAGAAAGATGAAAAAAGAAAAATGGCCTTTTTCATCTATAAGAGAAAAATGGATGAGAGGGGATTAGGTAAATCAGATAATGGACGCTCAGACAAAAAGAGTGAATAGGTCAGTGAATTAAATAACTGATAAGTAGGTGGGTGGAAAAAGCTCTCAGACCAAGAGGAGACTGAGCATGACTCACTCCGCTGTGAGGATACCAGTGGGGCACTGCACTGATACAGACTCGGAGCGGAGCAGGGGAAGGAGTGGATATTGACTTTGAGTGGGAGGCCTATTATCCCCAGTGCCAACCTCCCAGAAACCTGGAAATCACAAATGTTTAGCTCGGCTAGCAGGACACCTCTACTGCATGTTAAAAAACAAGCAACTCTGGTAAACTCTGCTAAGAAAGATATTCCAGGTAAGTGTGGAGAAGGCCTGCACAGGGCTCAAGATGAGCTATTAGGACATCACGAGATAGGTGATAGGGAGAGTCTGGGGAAGGGAGTTGGGAAGGTGCTAAAGGTACAAATTTTGCTACCCATTTATTTCTACTAAGAAATGGTGAGATGCATTTGCTTCCAGTCACAAACTGAGCCCACCTCTTTCACTTTGCGGAGAGTTAAAGCTTAACTTTGACATACAAAATCACACTGTTCAGCCAGTTTAAGAGAAGGGTAACACTGACCCCTCGTTCAAGAAATATTGCTGGTTTATATCTTTGATTTTATAACTGTATGGCAAAATATTACAAGCAGCATAGATGAAGGATATCCGGTCTGACTGGACTTGTATTCATCCAATGCTCCGATACTGTTTTCAGATTGGACTGCACTGCAACCAGAACTAGGTCTGTGCCTGAGCCTGCAGCTAGGTTTGTGCTTAAACCCAATTTCCCCAAGCATGTTTTGAAACCATAAAAGAAATGTAAGCAAAACTAGCTGACAAACAATGTCAGGTAAAAGGAAGAAGAAGTTTTGCGACTGACAGAGATATTATTTCAGAGTAGTCAGAAAAATAACTGAAAGGCTCCTAGCTGCTCTTGAACTTCAGGAGACAATTTTGTTAATGACTAGGATAATAGTCTAATGATCTTGTTAGAGAAGAGGCCGTCTGTTCTTTGTAACTTTGAGAGGTTTAGAAAAAGAGGAGAACTAAGACAAGGATTTCATGTCCCTCAGCAAAGCTTGAGGACCACTTCGATGTCAATCTACAATATAATTTTTTTAAAATGATTTTATCATAAACCAAAGTTTAAATCCATAATATTATTGACTCATGTGCATTTCATAAAAACTCTAGTCCTCTTGTAGCTTTAGCTATCCCTTGTGGGGCCTCATAAGCCTTTTGGGACTGGCCATATAATTACTGGCTAAGTGTACTTTAATAGATCATTAGAGGCAGAGCTGTGCAAACGAGCCTATCATTAAGCATGCCCCTCAAGGGTGCCTGTATGTATGTATGTGCTTACGCACGCTGGCACACGCACAAACACAAACTAGAGAGTGCAAGTGCACACCCACACACAGTAAAATGAAACCCCTGTAATTGAGCAACACATGCACATACTCACTGAAGACCAAGGTCACCAAAATATCCTTAGGCTATGTCTGACGAAAACTAATATGCTGCAATCGTAGGCTTTTGGGGCACAGACACTGACACACATGCACATTCAAATTCAAACACGCACACACAGTTGGACACAAACACAGACTAAAACCCTCCACACGAGTAATTATTCTCTCCTGCATACTAAATAGGTGGTGTGAAACGGGCAGCGCTTAGAAGAGGACAGTTGGTTCCCAGCAGTAGGGGAACGGAAAGGCAGAGTTGGAGGGTAGAAGAAAGCAGTGGAGGAACCAACTGTCACCATTGAAGGGGTGAAAAGGGTGGAGGAGCAGAATGATGATGAGGAGGACAGAGAGAGAGAGAGAGAGAGAGAGAGAGAGAGAGAGAGAGAGAGAGAGAGAGAGAGAGAGAGAGAGAGAAAGGAAGAAGTTGAACCAATGGAGAGAGAAGAAGGTGAGAGATTAGTTGGTGCAACTGAGAGCTTAAAAACCAGTGGGGGAGAAAGAGAGAGCGACAGAGCAAAGATGAGAGGGGGTGGGAGGATGGAAGAGTGCGGGGGAATGACAGGCTGGCCGAGGGCCCCTGACACCGGCTGTCACCTGGAGATCAATCAGCAGCCTGAACTCAAGCCAACCAACCAAAAACTGTTGCTTCACCTCCTCAATTCTTGCCCTTTTCCCTCTGAAATCCTCTGAAAGTCGCTGAAAAAAAAAAAAGTCGTTATCTATTTTTTTTTTAAATTCTGTCTGCGTCTCTTTTATCATTTTTAATCCTTTCTCTTTCATTGATTTCTCTTTCTCGCATAATGGACCTTTCAAGCATGCGCACATGTACACTCACCAACAGAAATGTGGGACCACTTTGTGTTTGTTATGACGTAGTCAGTTTGGGTGGTTTATAAGGAATGATAGTGGAATACCCTGTCATGAACCCACCCCCTACACGCCCTTTAGACATCTACACAAACATCCACAGATACACAAAAATTATTCTGTGCAGTGGTGTAGGCCTCTATAAAGCCACCATCCTAAACAGATATCCAAAAAGGAAGCAAAAACCTCTTTAGATCAACCAGCTTCTGTCAGTTCTTCTCTTTGTCCATTGATTTCATCTTCCTAAACAGGACAGAAATGCTGAGATTATCGCGATTCTCTGAGCTCGAAGGACATCCACCGAATCAGGCTGCATCTCGGCTGCATGCATGGCACACCATCCTGTAACTGAAACTCTGATAACGCTAGCAGAAATGCTGGTTGATAGATAAGCCTTTCAAACGCAAGTTAGACTGTGTAGGGAGTTTTGTAATATGCATGCATTCTGTGCAGGGAACGTGAGAGTGCTGCTTCATACTGTCACTTTTTTCATAATGTGAGTATGAAAAGTCTCTGTATTTCAATGAGTCTGAGTCATCTGAACATTTTGTCTGTTTGAAGAACTTTGTTACAGTGGCATTAAAATTAATGGAGTTTGCTGAAGTTGAGAACCACCAGTCAATGGTGGTGTAAAAGAACACTGCAATAATGTCAAATGAGTCAGACAATTAATTGAAGTTGCACTTTCACTGACTCATGGGCATATTTTGACATAAATTAAAGGAGTATTAATATGTGTCACACAAGTATCATAAGAAGAAGTAGCAATAATTGATATTTAGCCATTTGGAGGCAGCGCAACAAACTGACCCACAACACTTATCACCTTTTAAATTTCTCCAAACAATAAAAGCAGACATAAATAACTTATCCACAAACATTTCTAAATTTAATTTAACACCATTTTATTAATTGGTCAGTAAATATATTTATGTATTTATTTCATCAGTTTTTATTCAGCCTATTGTTAATTTTATAGTACTGAAGGATGCAAGTCTATAGATTGGTTAAGCATAACACATAGTTGTTTATATTTTTCACATAGGCACTACATTTTGATGATAAATGTGTATTAAATAGCCTATATCTCTCTAGTCTCTTATTAAATTAATGCATATGTATCTGACTGTATAGCCTGTCTCAACCTTAAAAAACAAATCATAGCCTACCATAATGTGGACATGTGATTAATTTACATTGTAACAATATTTCTTAACAAATAGGTAGCGTATGAAATCCACAGTAATCAATCAGAAAATATTAATTTACACTGCCTTGGCACACTGTCACACGTCTGACAGGCCACCGTGCATCACAAAGAACGCTGGCCGGCAAATTGTGTGTAGTTTGGCTTGATACTTAGGCTATTAAGTAGGCTATTTGGTTTCTCCCACTCTTGACCTCGTCGGTACTTTTGCATCCACTTCCCTTTCAGA